AGTGAGTCATCCCGCCGGGGCCGCCCTTTTGGTTTTTTTCCTCCTTTTTCTTCCCATTTTTCCCTCTAACCAGCGCGCTGCTGCTCCGTAGATCGTGGGGTTGCGTAACCCCTCTGCCCGGCTGCCCTGCTCCGTCCTCGAGCCCTTCCCAGGCACCGCCAGGGCCGGGCTGGGGTAAAAACCTGCCCTTTGGCCATTTCATGGCTTCCTCTGACAACAGGGCTCAGAGCGGAGCTGCTCTGTAGGAAAACAGGATTTGCCCATCCTGGATCCACTGGAATGTTTATGCAGCGGAATAACAGCTTGATAGTGAGGAAAGGAGAGATTTCGTTACACTCCCGCCACAGTGGCCCTTCAAAATGCAGTGTTGGGGTGATGTGTTTGCTGGGGTGCTTTCAGGTGCTGGCGCTGGCAATTCCTGACCTCGTGAGCCGATGGGGAAGCCGGACAGGTCAAAGCCCCAGGAACTGCAGCTCCTTTCCCCCCCAGGGCCTTGATCAAGGCCCATCTCCTCCCCACCTGGAACATCCCTGTTGGAATATTCTGGTTGTGCATTGAGGCCTTCGGCAAGGGTGGCACGGACGATTCCGTGCTTAAGAACAAGGCAAAAAGGAGCAACCCCCGGGAAGGGCTTTGGCGCGGAGCAGCAGAGACGTCGCCCTGGGCGCCTGCCCGCTCCGAGCCCGCTCCTTGCGGCTCCCTCTGCTCAACCCGCTGTCCCCCGGCGCTCACGGAGGCGCTGGGGCACTTGGAGGAGGCTTGGCCTCTGGAGCCACCTTCCCCGAATCCGTCACGGAGCAGCTGGAGAGCACCAAACACTGTGGGACACCTGGCAGGAAGTGCCGCTATGCCGGGTAATTCCTCATGCCGTCGGCCGATGCTCTTGGTGGGGACCAGCGCAGATCTGCGCTTCAGCAGGCTCCAACCAGCCTGGAAACAGCCAGGACACTCGTCTGGTCGTAGCCTGCAGCGGATCACCGCTGGTTGGTTCAGGTTTCTTTATTAAACCACATTCCGAACCATTTTCTGGTTTTGTGCAGAATTCATGGAGAAAGGAGGAGTGGGAAAAGAGGAGGCGGAAGAGAAAATCCAGGAGGAAAGAAATGGAAAGGGGAGGAAAGGTTGAAGTGGAAAAGAGGTGCTCCAGGGAATGAGAGAAAACATCAGAGCTTGTGAAGTGAGAGCAGCGGTGCTTCTCGGACAGGAAAGATCCCGGGAAATTGAGGAGATTGTGGATGCGCTCTCCTGCTTTGGGGACTGCGAGCTTTACGCGTCTCAACTGCGCTGGGTAATGGCAGTTTGGTTATTTCTAGCAACCCCCCCGTCCTCCTACATGTTCAGATGTTCCCGTCAGAGCTGGTCAAAATGTTTTAACTGATTTTTTTTTCCTCCAGAGAGAAATGTCCAAGCAAAACAAACATGATGACAGAAAGTGCAGCTTTGGTCAAGGAGAAGTGCAATGTAAACACAAAAGAGTCCAAATGAGACACGCTGGCCTATTTGGATTGGCTTTTGTCATGCTGGAAAACCCCCTGGACTCCCTCTTACCTTGGAAAGGGGGAAAAAAAGTCTTTTCCTTGCTTCTTCCTTATTAAGAAAAATATTTCCCTGAACTGCAGATTCCTCATTTGCTCCCTCCTCACAGTGACTCTCTTC